AGTTAATTTATTCTTTGACATAATTTTTACAGTTAGCTATACACACTGTAGGTATATACTAATTTTTCTTCCTACACTATGATAAAGTTAAAATTTACCGTCTACATAGGAACGAGAAAGTAAGTGTTTCTACGGCTAGCCTTGCAAAACCCCCACAAATGGCTAGGCATGGAATATATACTAGGTATTACGATAGACAACGGACTTTTACATTCGTTGCTATTATTAATAACGGTTTTAATTTTGTTTAGGTTTGGGTTTGAGTTAGCAACAAATTGTAGAATTTAATCAGGGGCGTAGCTACCGCGGTATCAGCCGTATAAATGATACGGGGCCCCCGGATAGGGGGGCCACCGATTGGCTTCGACATTCGTAAGCAAAAAACATATTACTCACCTGTTAAAAAAATTGAGGCATGAAATAAATAAATAAATAAATAAATAAATAATATTATTATTTTATTGTTTATACTTCGATTTATTAAATTAAAATTTTCCTAAATACCCTCCTGTTCCAACGAGGCCGTGAACTCATACGAATTGTTTCTGCCCGCACCTTTCCGCTATGCGTTATCTGCGGCGCAGTCTGCGCATATTGTTCTGTGCAAATTAGAAATAATTATTAGCGTTACAATTATTTTAAATGACTTGCCTTTATTTTAAAATAGAAACCTTTTAAAAGATGTTGAAGAACGGTAAATGAATAAACCAGACCAAATTTTAAAATTTGCCGGTACATAAAAAGCTACCTATGTATTCGGGTGCTTCATTTATAAAGTCCCACCTAAAAATTTTGTAACCGGTCAGAAAACAAAAATGTTGAGCTATTACAATGCTCTTAATCTTTATTTTTAGCAGTTGCTATTTCCTTTAAAAACCATTAAAAAACAATTTTTATTCTTTTCTCCTTCCGCTCGTACAATAAGAATATTTTTTTCGAATTTCGATTTTAAAAACTTTATACAGGATGAATGTATGTCCATTTTAGCAAGTCTGTAAGTTCAATATGTTCTTCACAAATTGTCGTTCTTCTCGAAAATCTTCTAAAATAGCAGTAAATCGTATTTGGAGACTAAACTATTGATTGTAGATAAAAAACGTAAATAAAAATTTTGTAGGGAATTTTGTGCCCTACCAATTTGTTAAGTATTTTTCTGTATCACTTATAGTTTAGCTTGTACAGCCACTCTTTCACGTAACCCTAATAGTATAGTCAAAAACCGAATTTTTAAGAATTTGACACTTTGAGTCGCTCTAAAATGAAGCACCTAATATATATTATTTATTAAATTATAAAAAATTGGTAAATGCAAAAAAAACTATACCCTACAAATTTTTTTTGTTTGCCCAAAATCGACTTTGGTCGTGACACCCTAAAATTTTTTGCCAGCAGCTTTTCCCGTATATGGGCCCCTACCAGATTTTTTATACGAGGCCCCCTCGAGGTTAGCTACGCCACTGAATTTAATTAAATTTAACATAATATTGCATGTTGTGTAGGAAGAAAAATAAGGTGTAAACCACAGAAGTAAAGTAACTTTTTCAGGCTTCATAAGTGTACATTTGTTTTTTCAGCCTGTTACATGTCACTTTACAATATACTATTTCACCGTAGGTCGAAAAAAGGCAGCACCAGTTTCAGCGGAACTGTTTACTTATTTTAAACTATTCAAAGCATATGGGTCTTTCCACCCCGAAATTTTTTTTTTAAATTTTGTGAAGTTATTCTTTACATCACTGAAGATTTGAGCTCTTAATTTTAATTACTTTCGTAGAAATGATTTTTAAACTTTTTTGTTATTTTTTTTTGGATGTAAATAATGTTTTATACAATTTTTTTTTGTGATAAAATTCTGGCTTTTCCATGAAAATATTAATTTTTAATCAAGTAACAAAAGACTAAAAAATTTAATTCAAGTGAAAAATTCAATTTTTCTAGCTTTGCGCAATTTTTATTTCAAATTTGATATAGGTATTTTTTAAAGCTAAAAAAAAACAGTACTGTTTGTATTTTTATGAAACATTATTAACGTAAAAAAATAACGAAAAAGTAAAAAATATACTATTGTAGAAAAATCATTACTAGGAAAGTAAATATCTTCATGTAAAGAATAACTCGACAAAATTTAAAAATATCTGCGGCGGTCACACTCACTACAAAAAGACTCTTTTTTATGCTCCAGACTAAAACGTTTTTTTATAAAAAACTTTCGATATGATAAATATATTAATATAGCATATTTACAAATATACAAGCATTTAATATCTAAATGGGATGTTGCATGACACTAAGCAGGTGGTTGGCACATGAAAAATTATACATTTATTACACTTATTAAAAACTCGAACCCATATGGTTCTTGTTTTTTTTTAGATATTTTACAGTCAAGGGGTACCTTTTTTTAGTCTAAACCACAGCAAATTTGAGTTATTTTTAATTAACAAACATGATTGTTCAAAAATCACACAAAATACTAGTGTCAAGAACATGTCAACAAAGTAAAAATAATAATTTTTCAACTGACGAACATTTATTAAAAAGTTTTATTATTTATTTGGGTATTATCACAAGTAGTTCATTTCATACAAGAATTTAGGCCGTTGAAGAAAGTAATATAACGACCAATAATTACACTAAAAAATATTTCAACTAAACTTTTAGATAAAAAAAATTTGAGCATAAGTTACAAAATCAGTTCAAGAAATGAGCATTTTTGTTAAAAATTTAAATAGATAGTAGATATGTTCTTATTCTGGAAGCACAAATATTATTAAATGTGTTTCTTTACACGCATTATTTAAAATAACAATAACAATAATAAAAAAGCTAAAAACTAGAAGAAAAAATGTATGAGCAATATTATTATTATTAATATTTTCGTTTTAATTAATAATGTTAAATGTTCGTCAGTCATTATAACAACAATTAAAATAGATCTGAGCACCTGATCAAATTTTTCGGTAAAATTCGTTTTGGGGGCCCCAAAAATTCTAGGCCCGTAATAAGTACGAAAACAGGACCGGGCCGGGAAAATTTAGGCCCCGAAACAACAACTTTGTGGCCCAGTCATTTTTTGTTTACGGTCTAATCGGTTCAAAAAAGTCGTTTTTGTCCAGCATATCTTAAATACTAATTACTCATTTGTTTCGAGTTTTGTTTAAAACATTAAAAAACACTTAACATGAATATGATATATTTATGGATTATAAGCCTACCTAACCTATTTTTATGTAATAAAACACCGATACATAAAAGTTACATTAAAAAAAATTGGATTGTCATTTCTTTAATGGAAAAAAGCCATCCCATCTTAAACACAAGGTGGACCAAAATATAACAAAATCCAAGACTAACCTGTTTTTTAGTAATTAAATCTGAATTATATACAGGGTATTTAAAATGTAAAGTTTTAATCTTTAAATCATCATAACTTTGTTTTAATGAATAAATGTATTTTTTTAACTGGAAAGGTTATTTTAGTCCACCCTGTATAAAATATTGTTGAGAAATTTATTATGGGATAGCTTGTAGCTGGACCTTTTTTGTACCGAACTTAGACCTCTAATAATCTAATTAAATAACATGTACAAATATTTTTATTATCTATTTAATTTATGTATTATAGTATTAATATAGATAGTTTTATATTAATAGACTTTAAAAAGATCACAACACAGAGTTTATAGTACTCAGTGCTTGGCACTTTAGTACTACTAAAAAAAGTTCAACAAATTCACGTACTTGTCCCATTTTTTTACTTTTTTTACTATGTATGTGGCACATGAGTAAATAGTGCGTTCATATGACTAAGTATATAATATAATCTAAGTTTTCCAAATATATAATATAACGGTTTTATTTTTATTCTTAAGAGTATAGAAAGGTTAAATATTATTTAGTATTAGCTTTGTTTTTATTAAAATAATTATTTATAAATTTTCTAGACACTAAACCTAATAGTTTTTTACAATATTAAATATTTCTTTCATCTTATAAAAAGGAATAAAACTAGACAAGGTTTGAGCAAATCCACCAAACTTATACTTACACACTGACAAGTCTGTGAGTTTGTTGTCTAATACGTATTAATTTTCTTTCAATTATTTAATAATCTCAAAAATTATAATTTAAATATGGCCGTTTTTTGATATCCATTTGATTATATTTCCATTTATTTAAATTCTTGAGTACAGATCTGTATTGCTCATTGATTTTTGTTGATATTTTTTCAGACGAACATTATTTTTGTTTTTTTAATATTTTATTAAACTATTAGAACCGTTTTTCAATCTAAATTACAATGTTTTTTTTTACATGGATAGGTAATAATTTATTATAATTGCAAAAAATGGCGAATGCGCCGGGATTTAATATAATTTTCTTAATTATGTTAGTTTTTATTGCATCTAGACTAGAAGGTCCTTAAAATAATAAATTTTGATTATTTTTTTAAACTCATTGTATGTAGGTACTGCTTAACTTTTTGATTAAACTTTGTATTTTGATTTTCGTTGTCCTTAAAGGAACTTTTTCAGTAAATTTCATTGTTACGAATTAAATTCATGAAAATTAGAACTCTACAAAATATATTTTCATTTATTTCGTTGTATTTATTTGATATGCCTTCTTAATAATTATATTAAATCAAATAATTTTTAGGCCTTTAAACATCAAATTAATAAAATGTACTAAAAAATAACAAAAACAATGTTCATCCTATAGAGCATTCATATAAAATCCCAAAAAAGTCGGATGTCATAACCGGCAACGTTGTAATTTACGCAACGTTGCCGCAATAGTGTCTCACTCGACGTTCGATAAAGGCACTAACGTCACGTAACGTCTTGTTACGTTAAAGTAACGGTCCACAAAATAATTTTTGTGTTTGTGTTTTGGAAAAGTTTTCTGGAAACGGTTGAGCAAAAATAAGTTCGGAAAAAAATTTTGTTTGGAATATAACAAAAAATAAAGAATTTTTTTAATGCAGTACTTGGGATTTTGTTAAATTCCAATCAAAAACTTAACTTATGAAATTTGTTGTCACCCTGTATGTGAAGTAAAACTTTGTAGACCGGCTACTTATTAACACAACCCCTATTTTTTAGTGTTTAGCTTTATTAAATATATATTCTCTGTTTTTTTAATATGCAGTTTTGAAATTTATACACTATCCTAACTAATTACCTAAATATCCATCTTAACGTACAATGTCTTTTTTCGAATTTCCAATTATTTTTTTGATCTGACTCAATACAATTTTTGATTGCCTTTACATGAAACAATCTACGTAACAATCTGCGTAGACTTTCTATTATTAAAAAGAATTAAACCAACAGTTACTGAGCACTATACGGACTTGGCACGGAAAGTTCATTCATACTAAAGTTTTGAGGTTCCTTGGGTTCACGACGTTTCGATGGTTCGGCATCAGGCGGTCGATGAGATTTCATGTGCGCGCTTCGACTTTTGATTTTCGTAAAAACCCTAAAATTTAAAATTTTAGTAAAAGCATATTTTAAGTAGGCTTTTCTCGTACTCGAATGAGAACGCAAAAAGTCTTAAAGGACCTGAAATAAACGATATTTTGCATTTTACCTCTCTGAAAATAACATACGTTTATTTGTGTTGCCTACATTGACAAAAAAGTTTTATAAAAAAATTTACACTTTATGAAGTCATACAGATAGATTTTGGCCAAACAGAAAGATTTTTGATGTAAGGATGATTCTACAAAAGTTGGACAACTTGATGTCATCAGTCAATAGAGTAGGTATTTTAATATTTTTTGTAAATATTTTGGTATATTACAAAAGATCCAGGTTTTATTAACTTGTCCACCCAATTTTAATGTATTTTTTCAAAAGCACGTTTGTAGAAAAATATAATAAATATTCAAAACAGTACCTTAGCGTGTCACAACTCCTGAATCAAATATTTGAGTGATTTTATTTTAAAATATATTCAATTTATCTTAAATTTTTCAATTTCATTACAAACTATAAAACATTAAATAATGTATTTTTCATATTTTATCATAGATTCGAATAATAGCAATTTTTAAAAAAATTGATAATCTTTGTACTTACTTTTACCCGTCAGTTCTGTGTCCAATGTTAAAATTCAAAATTCCTGCGAAATATTGAAGTTTAAACGTCAAGTCCTCGTTTTAACTCAAGTGTTGGTAAAAAATTAAGTGTTGGTAAAAAATTACCTACAGAGCCCGCCCTTTGCACGACAGTCATCTTGAAAACAATGCAAGCAAAGTTGTGGTGAATGCACGTATAGTTCCAGTCAAAATTTCAGTACTTCAGTAAAATACTTAATTCCGAATTATAATCTCAAATTTGTATCCCATTCATCAGTACCGTGTCGTCAGTTCCATGTTCGATGTTTCGGTTATCTTTTTATCGCAAACTTAAATTTAAATTCTGCTTGCGCAGAACTTGTTTATTTAATGTCATCATAAACTCATATAAATTTGGTGTGAGTCCCATATCTAATAATTGAGATATCGGTTTACGCAAAATCCACCAGCCGTGTGGTATTATTTGATTTTAAGATATTTATTGTATAATATGCTCAAAGTTGCAAAGTTTAAAATAAAAATAAATTATGTATTTAATTAGTACCCTGGTATACTCGTCACTTCCCTTGCATTCAAATTTAAAAACAGATACTTCAGAAACTGTTTGAAAAAGTGACTGGCCCGGTCTGGAACAGTATATTTATTATATTATCTATGTTCTTATAACAAAATACTGTTTAATTTTCTCCGAAAACTATACAAAATGAGGTCAAAAGTTGTCCAACTTCTGTAGAATCACCCATAAATGGCATAAAACATTATTTTAAGAGAGAAGTCCAGTCAACAAAAGGTTGTATAGGGAAATATTAAAAAAATTAGTCAAAAATTTAATGTTTAACAATTCTCCAAGGAGTCAAATAAGGCAAAAACGTGAGGATTTGCTCAAATTTTAAGAGAGTATATCTAGGAAACTAGGCGAGATGGCAAAAAATGGATAAAATTAATTTTGTAGAAAATTTGTCAGTTTTAATTTTGTTTAAATTAATTTTATAGCTAGGACACATAGTTTCTGAGTTATAAGCTTATAAGTTATAAGCCCACTGACCCTTGAGCAATCATTGACTGGACTAGAGGTATAATGAAAAATTCATTTTAACAGTTTTTTAAGGGAAATTGGAAGATTTAATTTAACAATAACGCAAGAGATAGTTAAGATTAAAGAAAACATTTAGGTGCAAAAATATGATTTGGAAAATGTTTTTTAGAAAGTACAATTTCAAAATCTTGTAAAAATATTTGTTTTCTTTAGTAATTATTTTCTTTTTAAGAATGTTATAAAAGGGTTCAATCATATTTTTGTCCAGTATATAAAGGAAGAAGTGCTATATTGCACAATGTTATTTTTAAATAATATGTTTTATTTAAAACAATTTAGTTAAATAATATAAACGATCGGTTATTTATTTGTTGTGACTTGCTTCAGTGCAATATATCACATAGTTGCTATTAAAAAATAGTCATGCGATCATCAACTATTTTCACATTGACTATGCAGATTTCGAAATGTATTTAGATATTTTTTTATAAAAAGTGTAAGACACTTAAAAAATTGTAAAAAATATATATTTTTGTATTAAATCTAGATACAATTCAAAGAAACTAAAATCAAAGAAAAAACAACAAAAAACAGGTATATACCTTATTCCGCCCATTGGATTTTGAAAGGTAAAATGGGGTGACCATAGAAAAGATTTTTATTTAAAAAAATGTAAAGCTGATTATGACAGGCTGTTAAAAACATTTTATAGGATTTGTGTGATTATAATTTTAAGAAACTTTCAAATTATTTTGTAGTATTTTTCTATAAGTAGCTTTTAAAATTCAATTATATTTTTATTATTTTAAGAGTAGTTATTTTAATACATCAATTTCGAGATTTTTATAAAAATTTGAAAATTAATAAATTTTTTTTGTATAAGAAATATCAAATCCATGGTGTTTCGAAAAAGTAAGTTTAAGTGTTAAAAATTGCAATATTTAGTTATAATGCTTTTAAAATTAAAATTGTTTGTATTATCTAACCGATTTAAGGCTATTTTAAGGTAAAATTTGTTATTAATAGGCAAAAGAAATTTAAAATTAAAAAAAAACAACGGTTTTCAAAATATTTGCAAAAAAACTGTTAAAACCAAAAATTGTTATTCCTGGGAATTCTCAAGAAAAGTAAGTTTTACATGTAAACATGTAGGTATCTACATTTTGATCAAATTTCTTTGCAATTAAACTGTGCACCACCCAATGTGTCGCGACCAAAAAGTTCGTCCTTTTTCAACGACATAACTTTTTTGTGTCTTGAACAATTTTATTTTGATCTATGATGTCTGCCTGACAATTCATGCTATAGATATGGTTATTCATGTAAATTTCCTACAAGGTGATATGTAAAACGGTGAAAAATGGTTCAAGAAACAAAAAAGTTATGTCGTTTTGAAAAAGAACGAACTTTTTGGTCGCGACACATTGAGTGGTGCCTTTTTAAATCAACATTTTTAAGTTACCATCACCGTCTTATGTTTTTATAATGGCCTCCATAACTTATGAAGTAAGTTTGATACATCATTGGATTTCTGGATTTAGAGGCCTATTCCCTTTCTTGCTGTTCATAAACATCGATTTCTTAACATGTATGTTCACCCAATGACAACCCAAACATCACATATGTTTAAGGCTATTCGGTTTCGCGTATGTTTCTCAATATCGATAAATGTTTCTAGGACAGATTGTATCTTAGGTTTATAGCCTAAATGTGGCATATCATAAACTAAAATTGTGTTAAATAATTATATTGAAAATCATTGGTAATATTTAATATATTAAATTAACCTAAAAACAACTTAAGAAAATCCACAAATTCTAAAAATACGTGGGAAAAACGTTTTATGCTGAACTAGCCAAAGAACAGATCTTAAGTCCAACCTTGAATAAAAACGGGTAATCTTAAAATAATCATTTCTAAGTTATTTTTACACAGACTTGAAGGCCCATGTAACGAAAAGGGCAAGGAAACTACAGATTTCTCGCATGGAGACTGGCAATGTCGGGGAGTCAGTAAAACAACTTAATGACATTGAGGAAAAATTAGTAGCCCTAGCAGGAAAGTTAGTGGTGCAGGGATTACCAACTCTTGAATTCCGCATTGACCAGCCTTTAAGGTTGTGTAGAAGGGCCCATTCTATAGAATTATACAACAAAGAGGCAAAAGAGGCCAAAAGAGAGTCCTACTCAAACTCTGATGAGTAGCAAAGGTGTAGTTCTTTGGTGTAAAGGTTATTGATAAAACCTAAAAGAGATTTTAAAATTAAACGAATAATGTTATCTCCCATTTGAAGAAAAAATTTAAGATGAGTTTTTGCACTGTTTAAAATATCTGTGGTGTAAAAAGTAATCTTAAAAAGGTGTCAAAATCCAACACCAAGTGGTGTTAATATAACACCATGAATTATGGTTGAAAATGTGTACCGATCGCGGCAAAGGCGGTGTGGATCACGTGATGTTCTTAAATCTCGCCTCTGTTGACTTACATGAAGAATATATAAACTCAGGTAGTCCTTTGCTTTGGTGTGACACTACAAGTTGTTCGATACTAAAGAGACCTTAAATAGGTGGAAACAGCTGTCAATACTTGAATTATGTTAAGTTAGTGGAACGCACTAAAAACATTATCTCTAGCGAGTTGAAGGTTCAATTTTCTGGAATAATACCACTGGTAATATACTTGTAATGCGTCAAGGAACTTCCTGTTTCCTTTTTTTCTGTGTAGTATAATTTAATTTGACCAAAAACACATTATATTTAACACTGAAAAGGAGTTCAATTTACACTAGATAAAATTTATTTTAATACTATGTGAAAGTTAAATTTACACCATTTTAGTATTTGAATTTACACCGGATCAACGAACCTTATTTAACACCATTTTGGTTTGTATCGATATAGACCATGTATGGTGTTAATTTGGTGTTAAAATGGTCATGAAATTTTGAACAGTGTATATGCATATTTTTTTGTATTTTATTAGTTCTTATTCTTTTGTTTGACTAATTTGTTGTATTTATTTTTGTGTAATAATATTTAGTAGTTCATGAACATGCATGTTCAATGAAAGGGCCTTTTATTCTATCTAACAATGTAAAATTACGATATGGTAAAAAAAGATGGTGTTCGTAAATTAAAATCTATTTGGCGAAAAAAATCACAAATTTCATAAAAATGTAGACAAATTTGTTCCCTAAAAATACCATTATATACCACACTAGTTACTCTAGAATACTCGGTTCCAAAAAGTGTCTGCAACTTTTTTGTGGGTAAAGCAGTCAATGGTTTTGGCATGCTTTTTTTAATTTGTATTTTACTTTAAAAATGCTTAAAATGTATTCGTCCCATGTGGTGTTTGGTTTAATGATTTATTCGATTTTCTTAAAAAAAATAACATGGATTTGATAATTTTTATAAATAAAGAATTTTCTATAAGTATAAAATTTGGTTTTATTGTTTTGGGTTTTGACATTTAAAAATTGAAAAAATGTAAAAAATAGAAAATCTTTTCTTTAATTGACCACCCCACTAACCTTACAGTATATAGAAATAAAATTAAAACAAAAATGAAATAGTGGTTAGCACGTGAAGCAGAGGACGCAACACACCGACCAATTTACCTCGAGTGGATCTCGTTTATCAGAACTCTGAAGATTGAAGGTGATGATTTATTGGAGAAGGGGTTGTTGGTACGTTTTGGTTGGTTGGTTTTTATACATAATTTTTGGCGGTTGATTAACAATTTGCACACTTACTTCCCGCAGATCTTGCAAGGATAGTCCTCGGTCGAGTCCGGATGGCACACGGTGGAAGAGACGGCGTGCGCCCCGGCACTTGCGCCGCCTTTGGGCGTCGGACTGTTGCGCGCGCTGCCCCCGTGGATCCGGATGTGACCGTTCAGGGCGGCCCGCGAGTTGAAACTCTGAAAAATAGAAAATATATCCCTAATAATATGGAATCCCAGCAGCATTTTCGAACAGTTAAGTCATTTTTTCGCGTAAATACCATGAAATACTATGGTTATTAAACTTAACCTTGGTTAATAGTTAAGGCATTTTTGCGTTTAGAGTGCGTTCAAAAATCCTAACTATGACCTCACAAATACTATATCGCTGAGCTAGTTATTCAACGTGGTTAATAGTCTTTCTCTTTTTAATATATATTTTTCTCTGTTTCGATCTGTCAAAAAGTTGTTTACATTTGAAATTTAAAATATTTTAAGTAGGTACAATTGACGCGTTTCTCGGAAAAACATCATTAGTCCAAAATTAACATATTTGAGAAAATGAAAAAAAATCTCCGACATTCCCATTTTTGACCAAAGTACTTTATTGACCTATTTACTACATGTAAAAAAATGTAAGATACTTTGTCCAGAATTCCTCATGTTTGTATTTTCAAACGAATATGAAACAAACACACAAAAATACATGAACATGTGAGGTTTTAAGAAGAAAAAAACAAACAATTCTCCTTACTACAAACACTACAAACTAAATACTAACTCTGAGTAACAAAATGAATGAAAAAACTAAAAACTGTATTACTGCCACACTCAGTCTTCGCATCCACAGCTGTTATCATCGTTGTCGACCGTGTTATCAGGACTGTCAGGTGCTATGGTCTTCTGCTCTTTTATCAAGTTATCATAAAATTTTCTATTGCTGTGGTAATGTAAAAGAGGTAGAAGCTTTTCTAGAGTGTCCAAAAACGTCACATGTTGTGTACATGTGACTTTCTTAGACGAAACGGAGTGGACTTGTGATGTTTTTAGAAGAACAAGCTAAATTTCATATTTAATTATTATGGAACCTATGACATTTTTACGAGAAACACTTATTTGTATACGTATATATGGAGGTTAGGAAACAGTTGGTGCTAATATCTAAATTTCGACGATATTGGACTAATGATGTTTTTCCGAGAAACGCCTCTATTGCTCTTAAACCGAATTTAAACAAGAAGTGGAGGAATTATATGCAGGTTTGTTTTATATTCTTCCTTAGAATTGGATAACGTGTATTGAAAAAACTAGTATAGAAAAAGAATATACTAGGTATAAGAAGAGGCAAAGAAATTTATTTACACCGGTAAAAGCATAAAAATTAAATATATATAGGTAAAAACCCATTTCAAAAATTATAGGTTATGAACAAGTAAACAAATGTCAAATATTAGAAACCTAACCATGGTTATACGAATTAACTATGACGTTATGACTTATTTAACCGTAGTATTAGTCACGGCCAAATCTATATGGGTGCACGTCATCAATGAGATATAATGACGTCAGCATTACCAACTTTGAATTGTAAAGTTACTGCCGTTAAATTTGCTTTTTTAAGGCGTAATTCTGATGTGTTATTAAAAAGAAATCGTTCATTTGCGTATTGTTTACCAAGAACTGTAACAATTTCCTTGTTTTAAAACGTTTTTTCACGAAATTATCAAAATAAATCCATTCACTTAGTAATTTTTGTGTGTGCCAGTTGGTAATAGCTTAAGGCTGGCACGCACCGTTTAATATTATTGATGGGTCGCTGTCATTTTATATTTGACGTATTTTTGTAATTGTGACATTTCGTCCGGAAGCATCGTTTGTTGCAAATTATTATAAATAATATTATACATTATGTTTATAAGATTCTATCCCTGGATTGTGCAAACAATGATATAAGGCTTGTTGGCAACTAGCCATTATTAGATTTCGAAGACATTGCGCCCTTAATAATAAATTTGGGGAAATAATCAGACTTCAATTCTGATGACAAGGACGACTGGTAATTTATTATTTTTGTGTTTCTGATAATTTAGTATTTTTTTGTTAAGTGCATATGTAATAAAAATGTAATAAACTCCGTTTGTTTTCTCTTTAAACACATTTAATAAAAATTTGCCTGTAACAAACTCCTAATTAGTTAGTACAGAAGATTATAACAAGGACGTTATAATTCCATCTTAATAACAGCCCCCACCGCTATAAACAGTCAACAATACACGAGCGTTAGATTGTGTCTGGGCACGTATGAATAGACCTTAACGCTGACGTCATATGCCGTTGATGACGTGCACCCATACAGATTTGGCCGCGACTATAGTATTTACGCGAAAAAACGACTTTAGAGAGCAAATCAAGGTTATCTTTTAACTCATTCCCTCAATTCAGTATAACACTGTAGCAGAAGTGTTTTGTTTATAGATAGACAATTTCTCTATGTGGGGTATTTTTTGTTAATTAGTTAAATATTAAGCTGGGTCTCCACCAAAGCAACATTTGTCGGTGACCATGTTGCCGACAAACGTCGGCAACAAAGTTACCGAAAATTTAAAAAAGTTGCTGACTTTTTATGTCGCAAATTGAAGTCGCCGACTTTGTTTCGTTTCCCGTCGAGAAGCGGTACATCAAAGAAAAAGCAGCCCCGCGACAATGTTTACAAATAGGTCGAAACACGTCTCCACCGAATTAGATGCGATTGGTCATTCGTAAGGTGTGCCGACAGTAGTGCAGTTTGTTAAGCCCTTTACCCAAAACTTATGTTTCTATTTGAAGAGCAAGCACATAATTGATAAATTTAAAAGCAGTAAATAAGTTGAACATGGTCTAAAATTTAAAATTCTTCAAAAGTATTAAAAAAATAAGACAAATATTTTTAAAACACAATTTTGGTTTTATTTATTAAATGATACACTATAATTAGATCCACGTCGTTCCACATGTCACTAAATGAACTTTTCCATTTTTGGTCGATAAATAAAGTCGGTAACAATATTTCTTTAGTGTGGACAACGTGATATTTCTCGACAATGTTTATGAAAACAACAAAAGTTGGTGACAATGTCGTCAACTTGTGTTGCTTTGGTGGGGACCCAGCTTAATGCTGTATTATATCGAGGGCATCAAACCAGAGACGCGTATGCGCCAACTTAAAAAATTTACAGAAGAAGATAAAAACGTTCCATTTTTGTAAATATTTAGTAGTTTTTTCAGACACACGTTACTTATATAGGGTGGCTCAAAAAGTTTGGAATATTGAGTGTAACTTTAGAAATATCGAAAATATAAAAACATTATTTTAATAAAAGTTGTTTAATAGTTTATTTCAAATTTTGCGGTGACATTGCCAACTTTTAAAAATAAATACGTAGCCCCCCCAATTAGGCCAACTTTTTTTTTAATTGCAACTTCCCTTTTTATATAAGAATTTTAAAGGGCCATTTTTCTGATTAAAACAGTGTGATAATATTTAACCGATATATAAATGGCTGAGCGTTAAACGTTAAACAATTTTAAATTTGCTTAAAAGTTTTTTGTTATAGTTTACTTCTAATTCATTTTTAATTCGAAAAAATTTGTTTTTATGGCAAAAATTGAGGTCGAAAATTTACAATTTTTTTTCGTGGAGCTGATATTTTTTCAAAAAAAATAAGCTTATGTTGATAAAAATACATCGAAAAATGACGAAGTTATGATTTTTTTAGTGGAAAACCAAAATTCAGCTTTTTGACGTTCTTTATTTTGACGATATTTTTTTTTCTTTTATTTTGTAATATATTTATTCTTTAATGGAAACCTAAGTAAAGTGCATGGTTGGAATTTTGTAAGTTTTTTTCTTACTTTTTTCATCCTAAAACGTGAAATCTTTTGTTTCTTGTGTTGGTATAGTGACATTTTACTGCTATTTTTTGATATTTCAACAAGGTATTTTTATCATGGTTTTATTTAGTTTATAAAAAGTGTAAAATGAGTAAAAGAAGTAGAGAGATCGATTGCGTAAATAACCCGGATAATCTGGGCGACGTAAGTTATGAGCACGGAGAACGTTTTTACCAGCAAATGAAGGCTATGGAGCGGCGGTATCACGGCTTCTGGGATGCATCCATGATGGGTGATTAGATTTGGTCCCTTATACGAGAAACGGAATAAGAAAGCAACAAAAAACAAAGATGGAGCCAGAATTTTTTTAAACCTATACTTATTACAACAAAATAAAACTTTCAATATCTTCAATGTTCAATATTTATTGTTCGATATTTAATATATAATTTAATTTCAATTGGTATTTAATGTTTTAAATAAAAATCAATGTTCAATATTAAATTTTATATACTTCAATAAAATGAAGAAAAAACGTTAAAATTCTCGAAAAACTGAATGTTGGTCTTCCACTGAAAAATAACTTCGCCAATTGTCCATGGAAAATAAATCAAACTGGACTTATCTTTTCGATTTCTATCTTTCCCAGAAAGATATGTAAATTTTCGACCTCGATTTTTGTATAAAAAAGGACTTTTTTAACTTCATAAAAGTTGTAAAGGGCTCAATTACCTTTGATTTAAGTGCTTGTTTGGTTAAATCGATCAATTAGAACTCGAAGTTTACTCTAAAACGTCAAAATACCCAAAAAAAATTAAAAAAAACTATTGAAAATTCCTATCTCGAAAACGCTTCCATGAAAAAAATTTAAGTATGATTTTCACGTTTAGTGAGCCAAACTACACAAGAAAATCATAATGAGACTTGGGTGGGCAAAATGGCTGTAAACTAGTGTAATAATATACCTACTGTTGTAATAAAAAAAGTTGACCCCCTTGGAAGGCTACGTATTTATTTTTTAATTAAAATTACCGCAAAATTTGAAATAAACTATTAAACAACTTTTATTAAACTCATTTTTTAATATTTTCGTTAATTCAAAAGTTTCACTCAATATTTTGAGCCACTCTGTATAGATCTATTAAGAAAAAAATTGTGTAATAAAACTTACCGCTGAACAATCAGAATACTCGCAAACAAAATGTTTTGTAGTGTCTTGTACAGGTAAGGGAGAACCACTGTCAGCAATCTAAAGAAAAAACATGATTTAAATATTTGATTTTTATAGGCTAGGAAAAACTGCATAAAATTCAGTAACCCGACACTCTGAGGCTAAAATAGTTTTGCGTCGAACAAAAAGAATATTATTATCAAAAAACGTGAAAAAAACTTACCCCCAATAATTTGGCATCAGGATACGGCTTCTCGTCCATATCATCCGAATTTTTATTATTCTTTTTTTCCCTAATTAGCTTCAACTTTCGGTACTCGTCCGTACACACCTTCTTCCAAACATAATAGAACTGGATACACTGTTTTACCGATTTGCTTTTTATCTAAAATAACAATATATAGCTTCGAACATACCACAGCAAAGTCGCAACATTACCTCTTTGGAAATACTATGGAAATCCTTATCGTATTTCGCCACCGCTTTGTGGAAAACATCAGTCTCTGTCGACGACCACTTGTCGCTTTCCGTGTAGTGATAACACAGCAAAGGGTGATCAGCTGGCAGATTTGGCGACGGTTGCATCAACCTCAACATTGCATCCTAAAAAATAATTGTGTTTTATTAAGATATTTTACCACTCTTTAATGTGTTACTTACATGTATATTACCACCACACATGTGCAATAAGTGCATCGCGTACTCCTTGTTTCTTCCACCACCAGGCACAGCTGCGCAACAGGCGAAATCCAAGTATATTTCAACTGCGTAAAATAAAATTATTATTTCATAAGACAAAATATACAACAATAAAATACCTTCAGAGTCGCTACAGTTATTAATACCAGGATCCCATAAAAGATCCTCGTGTTTGGGTACAGGACTCAACCGATCGGGCACTGACTGAAATACAGGGATGTTGCACTGAAATTTGGGCCCCACGTTGATGTGGGGTGTTGAATCGGTCTCTGGAATCGGTTCGCAGCTCCATATGCTGTTTTCTTCATCTATAGTGAATATTTTTGTAAAAAAATTAAATTAAGGGTATTTTTTGAAACGTACTTTTATTTTTGATTCCATTAAATAACCCTGTACCCTGACGCTGCGGGTTTAAAATAGGCTGAGGGGTGAAAGGGGAAGACCCTGCGGGTTTACTTCTGGTGGCACGAAGTTTTGACTGATGAAATACAGGCAGTTGCAAAGGTTCGCTCCTAGGTCTTTTTCTCGATGCCCTTACTGGACTAGATGGTAACCTGTTCAACGAAAAACTACATTGTGTTTAAGCATATATTCTTGGTTATTTAAAATTATAAAACGAACAAAAACTTACGTGGTAGGGCTTAAAAACACATTGTGTCCCTCTTCCTTCTTCAAATCCAAAACTTGCTTGGGCCTGGCGACAAACTGTTTAGGCATCGCGCATTGCACCGTCTTCGAAACCCTGTACATCTTATTCTTATCATCTTCTTGCGTATGAAGAACTTGTGCGTTGGCTAACACAAAGTTTTTTGTTTGCAGATTAGCCCCGGTCTGTATAAATTTAAGTTCGCCGTTGGCATCTAAAAGAATGCCGGCGAAATTGGCACTGTTCAGATCCAAGAGGCCGTTGTTTGTTACGACTCTAAGGGGTATTCCGTTGAGCTCAAAGCGTTTTCTGGTAATGGAGGAGCTTGAGAGTAACGGATCCTCGGAGTTTGGCATCATTTGTGACTGTAAGGTGTATTGTGGTGATATATTGAAACCGTTCGAGTTTGTCACTGTAAAAGTAGTTGGTGGTAGTGGCGAAGATACCGTTGATGAGATAGGTAAGGGTGATTGCACTGGGGTCAAACCAATTGGTGACTGTGGTGAGGGCGAGCTACTCAGAGGGTAAATATCATCGTTGGTAATACTTTCGCCGGGTAAAACTTCCTCTAAAGCTTCTTCTACAGCAGCTGAACTCGACATGGTGGATGTGAAAAATGCGGCTGATAAAGGTGATGAGGCTTGTGGAGGTTCATCTATGCCTCGTTCAACGACTGCACCGAATTCTTGTTTTGGTGATACCATAGGTAGCATTGTGCTTTGGCTGAAACAAGGGCTTTGTCCTTCATGACTTGCTGGTGGTGTAGGGTAGGCAAATCCAGGTGAATCCTGACGAATCAGAGGTGATTGCAAAGGTGACTGCGCGATTGAAGTATGAGGAGATCCAGCGTAACCAACAGGACTTTGAGTTGAGTGATAACTTGGTGATGATAAATCCAAATTGTTGGCAGAATGAAAAGTGCTAAATTCAGCCAGACTTTCCGGTAAAGGTGAGTCCAAGACGGCTTGCAAGTCCTGGTTATGACTAGATTGGAAAGACGGCGAATGCACATTATCCTGTATGGTGTAATCATCCAAATTAATATTCTGCATGCTCTCATTTTGATCGGGCAACAAACTCTCGGTTTGAAATTGCAGGGTTGCTAGTTGGTTAGGATCCACACCTTGAAGCAACATTGTATCTTGTACCTGTGTAAAAACTTCGTCCTGGAGACTCGGCGACAAGTACTCCACTTCTTCCTGTTTGTACGTCAAAGTGAACGAGTCGTTCGAGTTGAAAAGCAGATTCGATTGGCCGGGATCCGAGGTGGTTCTTTTCACAGTCGACTTTTCCCTTTTTATTTCGCGTTTCAGTATCAAATCGGCCAAGGCTTGAGCTTCTTGCTGGGAATTAGAAACCCTGAAACAAGAAAACCACAGGTTTTATACACACCGTACTTTCATTTTACATTCGGTTTTTAAGAGGGGGAGAATAATTTTTAAGAGTGGAAGACGCCGAGAGACGGTTTTTGTAATTCAGCAGTAGACCCTTCACTGGCGTGATAGTCGAAGTTTGCTTTGGACTATTAATACGAAATACTTACGCGTTATTAAGTTAATTTACTTTTAAAAATAATTCAGATACTTAAAATGTAACATAGGTAATCACTTTTAGCAGTAAATTATCAATTTAAGGTGTAGAATCATTAATTGTTTTGCATTTAACTAAAATAAATTATTTCTCTTAAAACAAAACTAAAAATTTAACCATTTGTTTTAAACCTTTGGATAACGTTTGTTCTAATTGAGTCTTGTTTAACGTAGAGAATTGCCCACTAAAGACCAGTTTATTTTGTCAATTTTCTCTTGCAATGTGTAGAACATTATATATTATAATTTTAAACAAAAGAAATTAATTTACGTTAAAACCACAGACCAACAAACAAATGGACCGGTTTATTTACATTGAAAAGAGTGGAAAGGAACAAAAATAAATATTTTCCCTCAGTTGTCACATCTGACTTTATTTGCTTTGAAGTATATATATTTTACGTAAAAGATACTTGCAACCCACAACTTATTTAATATTTTTATTTGAATTTATACTGAAAAATACCAATAGTGAGTGATATAAGAATGGTGAAGCAGTGCTACGTTTGTAAAAGACTTGGATCCAAGAATTTAAAACTTTCTTTTCATAGGTTAGTTTATTTACAAAACAAACCCTGCCAGGGGCGTAGAAACTGAATAAATAAATGAATTCACTTAAATTTTAGATTTAAAGAGCCAGATTCTACATAATCTGGAACACTAACTGACAAGGTTAGTATTTTGTTATACCTTTATATTTATATATATTAAATATAATTTTTACATAGGAATGCAAAACACAATAAAAAATGTACAATTTAATATTTTTATTTAAATTATGATCCCTAAAAACAGAACACCACTGGTGTGGGAACTTGTTTATAAATACCCCTTAAGCCTAAATTATAGATTGCCTTCCTTCCTTCCTCCCGTAGTCGTGCCCGTACGATTTGTGCGTCTTGTAAAAAGTCAATTTATAGATTTCCGTGTAAAATTCCGTAACCATGCGCGATGACACTTAAAATGGTTGACATTTATTTTTGTTTATATTTTGCGTTTTACCCGTTGTGTGTAAATATGAAAGATAATCATTTAAATATTAGTGCAGTGATCACAATTTTAATTGCCCAGGCAGCTTGTTGTATACTGCCCAACTATGGAGAAAGGCAGTAAGTGCTAAACAAGAAATTTGTGGGAAATTAGCATAAACTACATTTTTATAAAAAGCAGTAGGTATTTAACTGATTTATTTAACTTAAAAGATAGTTTACTGCATTTCTTTGTTGAATTACGATACAAAATGTCCATAGCTTTATCATAGCACAAGAAAACGCATTTGTAGTTACTGCCTTTTCCATAGTAGGGCAGTATAATGAAAAAAATATAAAACAAGACGTTGGAAGACTCGCCCACTTTACCAAGACCGGGAAACTATGGGGTTTTACAAAGCAACGTTTCTAAAAATGAAAGACATTGATCATAAACAATATCTAAATATCCTATTTAGAGACAAATTATTTAATAAACTAAAGAATCATGTATTTTAAATATTTTGTAATTACGCGCTGTCACCCTACAGCGCATGTCAATAACAAGCACTGTGATTGGTAATGTCAAAGACCTTTACGGTGAAAGATAAAACTTAAAAATTTCTACGGGAGGAAGGAATGCCGTACTCACGGTACGGGAATCTATAACTGGCACTACGATTTAAATAAACATTTTTGACGTAATTGTCACCATTAGCATTGCCCGTTATTAATTTTAATTAAACCTAACAATTATTGATACTTTAAAATATTAAAATAACTTCAAAATATGATTTTGTTAAGAAAATATTTTATTCTTTGATTTTTTTTATTACCATAATTGCAAAATATTATCACAAAGTATTAAAAATTCCTACACGGGAAATGTTAATGGCGAGAATTACGTAATGTTCATCTTCTACGGGAGGAAGGAAGGAAGGCAATCTATAAGTCAGGCTTTACTCCTTTACCCCTAATCTTAATAGTTCTTGGCAACAAAACATTGTGTATTTTGAATGGGAAAGGCCAGTCCATTTTGTTTGTAGGTCTGTGGTTAAAACGCTTACTACCCAGATAGCACAAAGATGTACTGGAAACGTCCTGAGTATATCTTGTATCAGACATTAGTAAGTCCCGAGTACGTCCGAATCAGGTCGTGAACCTTCCCCAGGACGTACCAGGGACATCCGATGTTACCAAATCGTCGGTCCCCAGAACGTCCTAAGTAAGTCATCATCTGGCCGTCCTGAAATACTTTATTGGGGACAAGCTCTACAGAATTGAAGAGTGGTATTTCCAAAGGGTCTAAGTGACAAAAATAAAATTGTGAGTTATCAATGAAAAAACAAATATTTTGAACATATAAATGTTGGAATATTTTTTAAGTCATTCTGCATGACAATAGTATATTAAAGTACAAGTTGCAGAAGGCCACATATTCTCGCACGAATTCGAAATTTGGCCTCGAGCGACGAAGGAGCGAGTGGAAGAACGAATGAGTGCGAGAATAGCCTTCTGCAACGTGTGATTTATACTATTTTCTCGATTTTAACTTTTATTTAGGTTTTTTTAATTGTTTTGTGGTCGTTGTTAGTAAGGGGATTTTTCTCGCAAAATGTCAGTTGGCAACACAAAATGACAATATTTGTTATCCTGCACAAGTACAACCTGAACTGCACTTTTACACATTAAACTTAAAATTTTGCATTAAAATGCATTGTTGGAGCAAACTTTATATTACAAAACAATAATAAAGGCTTCATTTTCAATAAAAGTAATGAATTTGAGGTTATTAATCAGTTTGACATTTTGGGGGTACCAATACTTAAAAACTAAATGTTACCAAAAATCGTTTAAGAATGAGCTTCATTCTTCAACGATTTTGCGTGCGAGAATATGACATTCTTACATAAAAATCGAGAAAAACTATTTTTTAATGAAAATATATTATTTAGCCAACTTGACACTTAGACCCTTTGGAAATACCATGCTTTAATTGCTAAAAAAAACAAAAATTACGTCCTTGGGACGAACCGAGTATATCCGCTTTAATTTTCAATGTGGAATGCACACTAGCCAATGCAAAACATAACTGAATCGTCGCCTACGGCAATCCGCTTACAACGCATCTGGGGAGGGGCAATCGGGTTCACTCGAGTGTATATATTTTAAATGAAAATACGGTATACAATGTTGTCCAGTTTATAAGATGCACCATATTTATAAATGCTACATTGCAAAATGTATAGCCTGCCTAAATTTTCAAAACAATTATAAAATTGTATTTTGAAAAATTTACCTGTGAGTAAAAGCTTCAGCGTCGGAATGTCTTCTGGTCTTGTCGGCTTGTTGGGGCGGCGCCGGCACCACGAACGAAGTGACTTTGGCGTCCAAGTCTGTGGCGGCGGCAGGAGCGGTGGTGGTGGTGGCTGTCGCCGCTCCCGAGGAATGCACTTTAAGGGGAAAGAGGGGCGGCGCGGCTTTGCCGCTGTTGCCGGTTGTTTCGTCTGTTGTGTTGTTGTTGGGGGCGGTTTGGGCGGCGGAGGATGAAGGGGCGGCGGGCGCCGGTTGCGTTGTGCGTTTGTTGATGATTTTTTCTTCGATGAGCGCCCGCACGCTCACGCTGGCGGTCTGAAGGGGCGGCGCGTTGTTGTCTTTTTTCTCGCATTTTTTGTTTTCAGAGTCCTGAAATTCTCATAGTAATTATTTAATATTTTTATAATACACAAATATAAATTAATTATAATGAAAATTATACCTATTGGTATTTAATATTTATATCTAAAATATGTAATAACCAAGCCTTATAATAATTGGCGGTTAATTAAGAGTTTCATATTTTAAAACCATGTCGTTTTTGATTAACTTACGTAGGTATATAATTAAAATATTATATAAATGAAAATGTTTACTTTCTAGGATTGTATCTTATAATAGACTCCTTATATGAAGTTATATAAAATGGATTTACCTTTAAAATGCTTTAATTATCCTAACAAACAATGATTACATAAAATGAAGTCATAACAAAGATGCAATGCTGTGTAGGTATACTTCTAAATGTATTTTTTATTTAAAGAGCTACAAGGATAACGTATAAAAAAGTTGCGTAATTACAAGCCTATTAAAATGAAATTTATAAATTAAAAAAAAGGCAGTGGTTCTTAAATGTAAAAAACCTCCTGAAATTAAGTATAAAAAACAATGTCCTTAAAATAGTTTGCATCTATATAAAATAGGAGTTGCTAACTGAAAAAATTCGTATTTCACAATTTGCATTTTGTATCTATTTGAAACCGACTTAAGGCTTTAATGAGGCCGACGCAAAGAAAGACGGTAACCTTTATGTATGTTTAAGTGTTTTATTTGCAAGAAAGTTTATCATTACAAAGTACTGATTGACCCTTTGATTTTGTGCCCCCAAAATGTTACGCCTGCGTGCGCCAGTAGTGGTGCACCCTGTAATATTGGTATACACTCTCTAAAAATGAATTAGTGAAAAATGCCTAATTACTACAGTTATTAGTGGCTGCTTTTTCACTTATACCATGGTATACGAGGTGTGTTCAGAAAATATCGGGAATTTTCGTTTTTTAATGTTGGCGCCTTCAAAATAGTCCCCATTGGATATTATGCACATGTGCCAGCTCTTCTTCCAATACTCGAAACACTTCTAAAACTCGATCTTTGGGATAGCCTTTAGTTCTTTCAGCGATGCGCTTTAATGTCATCTATGCTTGCAAAACGACGGCCCTTTAAGGTTCTCTTGTTAATGTGCTTGTGCGTTCGTCATTTTCAACGTCTTCACGGCCCTCTTGGAAACTCTTATACCACTTGTAAACTCTTGTTTTACTTATAGCAGACTTACTATAGGCCTTTGTTTACATTTCACAGAATTTATTTCATTTTTTAAGCAAAATTGGATACAAATTCTCTTTGATCCATTCCATAACGAACGAAAATCGCCGAGCTCATAAAACACGTATAACCTTAGCGGCTGCCACAGACAAAGTAAACAATGAAAACAGCTAAAGTTTTTATCACATATAGGGGGAATGTATACCAACATAATAAATAAAATTTTATGACAACCGGACCCTCCGAAGCCGCGAAATTTAACAATTCCCGTTATTTTCTGAACACACCTCGTATCATAGAATACCATGGAATCCCCGACATAATAGTCAATTCTTATGTAAAATTGTCCCCTGAATCCGAAAATACTTTCAAAAATTATAAAATTAGTGCAGTTTTTGAGATATAGTCAATTCCATATTATATGGAAAATGGACTACATCTTAAAAACTTTTATAACTTTTGACGACATTTTTGGATTATGCCGACATTTTTACATAAGAATTGGCTATTATGTAGGGAATACCATGGTATCCCATGGTATAACATGGTATAAGTAAAAAAGCAGCCACTAATAACTGTAGTAATTAGTCATTTTTTACTAATTCATTTTTAGAGAGCAAAATACAATTTGAAAAACATATCAAACCCACAAAATTGAATCTTACGGAGTTGTCATTTACGAAAAATACAATGTTGTCAAATTTACAATAAAGCAATGTTGTCAAATATACGAACAAAAATTAATAAACAAATCTTCATTACTTTTTTTACCTTTTTGAAGTATCCACCGTGTAATCTCATGTGTCCGTTGAGCGCCGGTATGTTTTTGAACTTCCTGTGGCACAAATTGCACTCCACCGGCTTCGGTTCCGCATTTTTCGGCGAACCGGAATTCGGAGTCGTCGTCGACACTTTCGATTGCTGTCCGCTCGAATTTGATGAGCTTTTGTTTGATGACTGCGACTGAAAAAGAAAAAAATCAATAAGAAAAATTATCATATATTTTTGTTGTTGTACATTAAAATTGCCTTAAAAGTCCTAGGTACATTTTCCTCTCTAAAATGTTAAAAAATTGTTTTGAAAACACTAAAATGTTGAAATTATATTTTGGATATTTTTGTTTTATTTTATGTTATGTGTATAAAGTTAACAACATGTTGTTAGGCAGTATAAACGTGCGGTTTGATAATATTACGCTTAAATTGCCCAGATAAAAGTTAACGTTTAATAGTATAAATTTAATGTTAAAGCTTATAACAAATAAAATTATAAAATTGCTTTGTTTCAGCTGCAACCGACGTATTTTTCTCTAAAATCGATAGCTTTATAATTTTATAACAAGCTTTAAAGCACAAAATAATTGTATAAAATAAGTTATTGCATATATGTGCGTTGTTTGAAGCGCTCGTATTTTCTTTTTAATAATCCCACAAGAAACAATGTTTGCCACAATATAGGTTAACCCTTTTGGTAAACGATGCTTTAATTTTTGTAAGTAACATTAGAATTTATGGTCTCTTTCCCGACTTCTGTTTTTTTTGTATTAATATATTATATCTATAGAATGTAATCTAATCTGATTACCAGAGTATTTGATGAGGTAGAGTGCTATTAATATCTCATGGTGGATGACCTTGGGTGCGCAAAAGTCTCAAATCCGTCAAATCGCGCTATTACTCGCCGACCTAAAAACATACTACATAGGGCTGAGAAAGCTGATATTTTCTGACATATTTAGAAAAATTTCTAGGCTACAAATTCTATTATATTTGTTTTAGGATTATAGCGTCTCTCAAGGTCAACCGCCATGAGATATTAATATCACTCTACTATGCTCCACACCTCAAAGTCCCACCACGTGACCACGAACTGAACGCAGTCTTTTGAAAATTTGGCATTTAAGGCTTTTCAGGTTATGTATCTGTCAAAGTATAGTCAATGAAAGAAATAATATTTATAGTGTTACCGCTTAAGCGTTAAAAGTTAATAAATCTTTATAGTATCACAATAACAATGGTTAGGAATATAAATACTGCATTTAATGAAATAAGGTGCAATATAAATGATATTTTTGTGCATTGGGTCTACATTTCTCCATAAAATAGTTATAACTAAACAGCATTTATTAAAAAAAATCTAACTTCTTCATTATGAAATAAGAATATCTGTATCAAAGGTAGGTTAATGTATAAGAACAAAAAATATCATCTAATTTTGTATTTTAAGGTTAGAAAAATCTATTTTGACCAAAATAAATAAGTGGATTATTTGAAAGAGTGTGTTAATATGGTCATAAATAAATATAGGTACACTAAATAATTGTTTAATATAGTTCAAATTAAATTGAAGCTTTTATACTTCTAATGACAAAACTTGTGCATACCTCTCGGCATACTTACTTTAAGTTAGATTATAAACAAACAAACAATTTTTAGAGAAACTTGCAATGTGAAAATATTTAATACTCCCATGACATGTGATTTATTAAAATTTTTAAAGTTATAATGATTTTTTGATGTAGATCAAATTTAGTCGAAGCTTTTTAACTATTTGTATTGACAAAACTTTATGTAGGTACACTTTAAGCTGGATAAGAAAAACTACCACATTTTTAAATACCATTACAGTCTTATAAATAATCCAAAATACTTATTTATTTTGGTTAAAATAAATTTTTCTAACCTTAAAATTACAAAATTAGATGATATTTTTGTTATAGATATATTAACCTACCTTTAATACCGATATTCTTGTTCCATAATAAAGAAGCTAGATTTTTTTAAATAAATGCTGTTTAGTTAAAATATTTTATGGAGAAAACCAGATATTTGGACCAAATGCACAAAAATATTACTTATTTGGCACCATACATTTTAGAATTTCATTAAATGCAGTATTTATATTCCTAAATTCTTAAACCATTCATTGTTATTCTAATGTTATAAAGATTTATTCATTTTACGCCTAAACATAATATTATTTCTTGCGTTGACTATACTTTGACAGATAAATAACATGAAAAGCCTTAAATGCCAAATTTTCAAAAGACTGCGTTCCGTACGTGGTCACGTGGTGGGACTTTGAGGTGTGGAGCATAGTACATCTTGTATTCTATTATAATGTAGACTTATTCTCGTAGTTTTGGTAAGATTTTTCTCCAAATTAAAGATTTTTAGTTACAATAATTAAAGTAACAGAATGCTAGATCCGAAAGACATGAAGCACTGCGTATAAAGAAAGCACGTGGCGAACCTAATATTTCTAATATTTTAACTTAAAAAAATGTACGTAGACGTATTACGTACATATAGAAAGTCATAACTTAAACTGTAAGCAAAATATTTCTTTTTTTTTGGTAGACAATAAAATATTATTGGGCAGCAAAATCAATGATTGGTCAGCAAAATATTTTGCTGACATATGTCATGCTGATAGGTGATAGGCGATAATTACACAGTAAAAAAATATTTTAGTGTTCTCCCAGGTCAACGGTTTAGAGTGAAAAAGTTAGTATAGAACATCACACTATTTTTAATCCTAAAATATATTTTTTCGTCTAAGTGCGATGGAATGATAATAATATTCCGCATCATTTTAACTTTACACTTAAATATACATTTAACACTAGCCAAGCTCTGGCAGTAGTGTAAATAAACAATCAGGGGTGTTCAGTTAACAAAAACGCAAACTTGTTTCGTTTATTGTTCTTTTAGAATTTGTGTTGGAAGAATGCATCAAGCTGTTTAGTTGTGGTTTATAATTATTAACTAAAGATAAATAAAGTATTAATATTCATCATGGTTTATAATTGCATTTTGTTTTCGCTCATAAGGTCGAAAATCGCGTTTTGTTAATACAATAGTACAGTTCTTAAAGTAGCTCAGTTTAATGTATATAAAGTAAATCGTTCTTTTTTAATTTTTAGATGTTTTTCCTGAGAGTAAAACATGTCCATGTTGCCAAGTTTAAGAACTTTAAAAATTTAGCCAAAACCTTAGCAGTGCGATACCAACAGATGGCATTTTATGACTGCAAAAATTTGGTATATAATTATATAGAAAAATTTCCGGATTCGATAGAAATTTTATGAAACTACGAGATTTTAAGCTTGCTTGCTCTACAAAGAGCCATACAATTTACACCAATCTAACAGTGTCAATTGGTACTTATACTGTGACAAAATTTTATTTGGTGTTTTGAACATATTTATATTTTAAGTAATTGCCAAAGATAAGTTTTATATTTTGTAAAGTAAAACTTACAATGAACTGTATTTACGTAATAATTTAGTAATAAGTAATTTCCAAAGGCAGAAACAATAGAGTAACCTACTTATGAATCTGTATTACCGACACGCCGGTAAAATTGTCAAATTTTTATGTGTAAATCGAAATGTATCCCTTAAAAATGGACTAACAACAGTTATACTGCGACTAAAAACCTGTTGCTAACTTTAGCCTGTGACTAAAACGCCATAAAGCCACAACTTGTCAATGTGTATTTAAAAGGTCACTTAGTGTTATGGAAACATGCACGATAATGGGCGTAGAAAAAAATATTTAATTAACATTTATTTACAAAAATTAAATTTTAAAAAATATATGCAATCAATGTTTTATTATAAAAGAACGTGTCTATCAAAACACATTTATCCATATATATAGTAAATTGACAAATCAATACACACGCTGTTCGTAGAAGTCTTTGTTCGAAATCAAATGAAAATGTATGAAATAATTTGTATTGTTCTACATAAAACATTTTATTTGTACGTTTTATAATATATATTTTAACTTTTATATTGTTTTATTTTTAACTGCGAACGCTGTGAACAAATACAGCTACCGGGGATTGTATTTCAAGATAATTATTTTAATAATTAAAATTTTACGGAAAACCCTTATTTTAATTCTAACACAAAAAGGTGGATTTTTTCAGAATATGTATAAATGTGATTTATATAACCCAATAAACTTTTTAATTATAGTTATTATAGTGCAATAGTAATATAATTATTTTCTATTATTAATACCTGACTGTATCCATAATAAAAATTCCAATAGTAATCCATAACCAAAAATTTAACTAAAACTTGCACAGTATTTTTGTAAGAATTTAATTCCGAAATTTTTCGAGAAATTCCAACAGATTCCTTATGGGATCACATCTTAAAAACAACTGAATAACTGGACCAGGGGTTACTCGATTTAAGATTGAGGGAGATGAGTTTTTGAAGAAGGCCGTGACGTCACCTTGTCCACGGATAACCGGATTATTCGTGTTGCATATGATGTTATGTTATAGGGGGTGTTTTTTGGAGTTAGTTTTAAAAGGTGAGTTGGGGATACAAAAATGAGAGATATTATTATGAGTTGAGAGGATAAGATTTGTAGGGGTGAATTGGGGTTAAATAAAAGGATTAAATTTTAATTTAAATATTAATGTGGACTTTTTACTAATAAAAAAGAATTATACCTAAATATAAAGGGGATCCAGAAACTCCGTTCAAAAATTTTAATGAAATATTCTACATATAAAAACCGAGGGGTAAACCATTGATTTTTTAAAATTAAAAATCGCATACGAATTAACGGCCAATTAATCACAAGGGTAGTCATAGGCAACGCGTCGGTAAGAGAAATTTATTATTGATAAGGATTTTTTTCTATTGATAACGACTGATAAGGAAAAATCAGAACACAAAGTCCATATAAGGTTGAGCGTTGGTCTCACTGATTTTAAAGGGGTTTGCCCCTTGATGAAAACATTTGAAGAAAAAAAAACAGATTAATTTAATTCAATGCATAAACTATTATTGTGTTTAAATTAAAACATCAAGGTAAATGACAAATAATTGAAATTAAGGTTTTTTTCATTTATTGGAGTGAAAAGTACTAGTACTATTAGTAGACGGTCATAACGTTCTTATAAAAAAAATTAAAACCTTCATATGAACTTTTTTA